TGAGACAATGGAGCTGCAGAATCCTTTCACCTCTTGTTGTCAGACAAATCCAATAGATGGCAAAGCCAGGCAGGCTGTGCTGCAGGGAATTAAAATTTGTTTCACAAGTTCTGGTCCTCACATTTCCCCCTGGATGGTCAGGGTGGGTTTCAGAAGTGACAGCTCTGTACACAGAGTTTTACAGCCTGAGCAGACACCAGAGAACTCAGCACTGGGACATTCCCATTCTCCTTGGGGCTGGCAGGGAAAATGGGACACCAGTTTGCTTCAGACAAGCACCAGCAAGGAGCCATGGTTGTAATAACAGTGACAGACATGGTTGTAATAACAGATGAAATAAGGAAGGGCACAAGAAATCTGAGAGCCATTGGGTTGGGTGTTCTGCTTGCAAACTCAGACTGGGCTGTGCTTCTGTTTTTAAGTGGCTTCCTCTGTTTCTGCTGTCTCAAAGTGTATTAGGCTGGGTAATGTTTTTAGTTTAGTAGGAGACCTAGAAAATAAAAAAGCTTTGTTCATCTCTGGAAAATGTTTCTCCTGCTTGAACCAGCCAGGCAAATAAATGCAGTGTGCAAAGCTGCCTGACAAGAGCTGGTACTGGATTATGTGGGAAGTCAAGAGTACTAATAGAAAATATTTGGTTTTTAAGGTAACCAGATTTCAGACTTCATAAAATCACAGTCATAGAATATGCTGAGTTGGAAGGGACTTAGGGGGATCAGTGAAGGCCATGCACAGGACACCCCAAGAATCACACCCTGTTCCTGAGAGCATTGTCCAAACCCTTCCAGAGCTCTGTCAGGCTGGTGCTGTGAGCACTGCCCTGGGCAGCTGTGCCAGGGCCCAACACCCTCTGGGGGAAGAACCTTTTCCTGATATCCTGAACCTGCCCTGCCTCAGCTGCAGCCATTCCCTGGGTGCTGTCCCTGTCCCACAGAGCAGAGATCAGGGCCTGAACAGACCCAGTGCCTCAGCTGCAGCCATTCCCTGAGTGCTGTCCCTGTCCCACAGAGCAGAGATCAGGGCCTGAACAGACCCAGTGCCTCAGCTCCAGCCATTCCCTGAGTGCTGTCCCTGTCCCACAGAGCAGAGATCAGGGCCTGAACCTGCCCTGCCTCAGCTCCAGCCATTCCCTGAGTGCTGTCCCTGTCCCACAGAGCAGAGATCAGGGCCTGAACCTGCCCTGCCTCAGCTCCAGCCATTCCCTGAGTGCTGTCCCTGTCCCACAGAGCAGAGATCAGGGCCTGAACAGACCCAGTGCCTCAGCTGCAGCCATTCCCTGAGTGCTGTCCCTGTCCCACAGAGCAGAGATCAGGGCCTGAACAGACCCAGTGCCTCAGCTGCAGCCATTCCCTGAGTGCTGTCCCTGTCCCACAGAGCAGAGATCAGGGCCTGAACAGACCCAGTGCCTCAGCTCCAGCCATTCCCTGAGTGCTGTCCCTGTCCCACAGAGCAGAGATCAGGGCCTGAACAGACCCAGTGCCTCAGCTCCAGCCATTCCCTGAGTGCTGTCCCTGTCCCACAGAGCAGAGGTCAGTGCCTGAACCTGCCCTGCCCCTGGTGAGGATGCTGAAGGCCACCATGAGGTCTGACCTCAGTCTCCTCCAGGCTGAACAGGCCCAGTGCCCTCAGCAGCTCCTCACACTCCTCCCCCTGAGGGCCCTTCCCCTTCCTCATGGCCTCCTTGGGATGGTCTCTAATGGCCTCATCTCTTTTTTATGTTATGTTGTGGCTCCCAAAACTGCCCCAGCACTTGAGGTAAGGCCACCCCAGCTCAGAGCAGAGCAGGACAATCCCTGCCTTGCTCTGCTGGAGATGCTGTGCCTGATCCTTCAGGATCTGAGCATCAGATGGAGAATAACAATTTCTGTTCAGCCTGGGAATTGTGAGGAGGATTATTTTTGCTCATTGATTTTTTTAAAACTTTTTTTATTTTCAAAATTACAATTGCAGGGATGAATTAGAAAAGCTTTCTTGAAATTCTGCTCCCTGGGCTTTGTATTATGCCACGTTTGGAATAGAAGAGAGAGCAGACTTTTCCTCAGCTGCCCATTCATTACTTGAATGGTTGGACTCAATGATCTCAAAGGTGTTTTCCAGCATAAATGATGCTGTGGTTCTAGGATTCACAGTTACTTTACTTAAGTATGGTAAGCTCATGAATTTGCATTGTACCAGCTCTCTTCAGGTGGCTTATCTGCCCTTTTTGTACTTTCTAGCAGTGAGGCATGACCCAGACCTCCACCACCAATCCTATAAAAGTTTCGAGAGAAATCCTGCTTCATTAATTCCAAGTAGGAAGCTCTGGAAGAAGTTGTCTGACTCAGTTTTTTGTTACCTGTAGATGTTGTACACTTTTCATTTCATGCTGGACTCAATGTTGGAAGAGTCTGGAGGATCAAATGGCAACAGATCTCTCAGGTACAGGCCAGAACTTGACTTTCTTTCTGTGCTCAGAGACTCTTTCTCATAAAAGAGCACTTGGACTGGTCTTCCCCTCCAAGTGTTTTTTACAGGACTTATTTCTTCTGCAGGATTTATTTCTTTGCAAGAATCTAGTGGTGTTCTCACACACAGCATGCCCTTGGTGCTTATTGGAAGGTTTTTATTTGGCTTCTCCTTCTTCCTTCTCCAGGAATGGGGTTGCCTGAGAGATACTGAGATGCCTCCATTTGTGGAGATATTTAAAATCCTGGTCAGCTTGTTCCAGCTGCCCTGTGGGTGCAGGAGGCTTTGATAGGTGATCTTGAGAGGTCCCACAAATCTGTGAAAAGTACAGGTTCACCTTCACCATTTCAGCTCGTAGAGTTAGAGTTACAGCCAGCTTTTGAAAGGCACCTACATCAAAACAGAAGTTTGCCCCTAATTTCACACAAGTGCTGGTTTAAGGGTCTTAATTCAGTAATTTGTTGTCACCATTTATTTCTCCTGCCTACAAAAGAACATGTTCCAGCTTATGCAGATCTATGGAAAACTCAAATTTTAGAGAAGTCCATTTTGAAGTGATACAGTGGTCTAGGCAGGACTCTGGTAGGGGCCACATTGACTGCTAGGTATATAATAAACCCATTAATTTCTCAGCAAAGACTGAGCATCTGTCATGTTTGCTTTACAGAAGATAACCTGACAAAAGAATGGCCACTTCATGAACAGATTTATCTTGAGGACATGTCCTGGAATGAAGGTATGAGTGCCTTGCTGCTGGCTCCTAATGCTTTTCTTTGTCCCTCTTAATCTTTTTTTTTCTGAATCTTGCACCATTGTTTCCTTACTTTAAGTGCTGGTTTTGCTGTATTTCCTGGGACAAAGCTGTTTTGCTCTCTGAGATTACCTGGATTAGAACTTAATTTTCTGTTACATTTGTTTTCCATTCCATCTGCATTTCTCCCCACCCTCACTTGCAGTACCACTTTTCACCCAGCTCTCCTCTTGTATCATTGAGAGTACATAGATTTTTCCCATATCTCTTGTGCATCTTCTTGCCCTTCCTGTGATGGTAGAATGCCTGTGTTTCTTTTTTCATCTGCCACTGTTCCTTCCCTCCTGTCTATTGCTCAGGCTTTTCTTGTTTAATTGCTTTTTGGGATAAATGGCTGATATTTATTTTTATTTTTTAACTTTTTTTTTTAAGTTGTGAGGGTAAAAATACCCCTTTCCTTTTTTTTTTGTTTTGGTTCCTAACCAGGGTTAGCGGCCTGTTTTGGAAGCATCCTTGATCTATATGACTAACACCACTTAGATTTTTCTTTTAGTATCATCAGACTGTGCACCTTGTTATTACTGCAGTTTTTGGGGTTTTTTTGGTTTTTTTTTGAAGAGACTCCATTGGCCATCGTTGTTTAGTGTAAGAACACCTCAATCACTGAAACATTTTGAGATTTTTTTTTTGAGCTACAAATGGTAGCACAGCTACTGATACTTATAACCCAGCAGTGGAAGGTTATTTGTTACTAAGAGCAGCTTTGTGAAGAAAATTCCAAATAAATTCTTGACTCTTCTCCAGCACTAAAGGTGTTTTTGTTTTCTTTTTTGGCAGATGAACAACTCTACACTCTGTCCTGTCGATGTGGTGGGAATTACAGTGTCTCCAAGAGTGAAACCAAAGATGTATCTTTGGTTTGTTGTGACACATGTTCACTTGTTATCGAGATCCTGCAATGATTGTTTCAGTGAAGCACATTGAGTGTTACAAACTTTTCAAAAGACTGGACAAACAAGTGACAGAATCTGCTAAAGAAATGTATGTTAAAGAAAAGGGGGGCACTACAAGAACAAGTTAATTCAGGGTTAAAAATGCCAAGTGCCCCTTTGCTCACACAGCTCTCAGACATGAGGCTGGGATTCTCCTTCTGCAGCTGAAGAGCTCATTACTCAACACCTCCAAGCCAGAACAGGAGCTTGTACAACTGCAATGCATCTCCTGATCTAAAGGTTTCTTCCCCAGCAAACAACAGAGTAGCTTTTTCCAGTTTCAGTCTGAAGCAGCTCTTGGGCCCTTCTTCTCAGGTTAAATCCTTGTAACAGCTCAGATGACAAAATTCAATCAGGAGGCACAGATGTGAGAACGCTTTGAAGATAATGAAGAGCAAAGTTCAGCAGTGGGAAACAGGAACATTTTCCATTTGTAAGCTAAATATTTAAGTTCATGAAATCCTCTCAAGGGCTGGGGCCTAGGAGGAGGAGGCAGAGGCTGGCAGCTGGAAGCAGTGGCTGTGCCTGCCCATGACAGTGGCATCACCTGGAGCAGGAGCACGTGCTGGGCTGAGGCTCTCCGTGTCAGAACAAATGGAGTCATCATTCCTGAGAGGACAGCTAAGGAGGAAGCTGTGCTCTGACCCACTGGGCAGTCAGAGGAAACCCCACCAGCAGGTCTGGAACCCCACTGGTGCTGCATTCAGTGCCAGCCCTGGCACCACCTGCTGATGGCAGGCACATAATTTTTTGTTGATGACACAAGTGTATCATTCCCACTCTGAAGTTAGGTGTAATCTCAGAAAGAGATATCTTTGTCAAGAATTATTTGTGTTTATTCTAAGCAAAAATAGTTCCATTCATTTTAGTAGAAAATACTATGAAAACTGTCAATAGTACATAAGTCTTTTAATCATCAAGAAATCTGTGGCCATTGGGGCTTGCACGTAGAAATCCAAAGTCATTCAGAGGCCATATCTGTAAAATAAAGAACAGTTACAAGAGATTTAATCACAATCCAAAGTTCAGTGTTTTCATTTGTTATTGGAATCGTTTCATAAACATCATCATTTTTTCTCTCTTTGGTGAAGAACTTTGCTCACTGATGTGCTTCTCTAACTGGGAGTAATAAATCCTGTGTATTACAGGGAATTGTTCCATAGTGTGAATCTTACCATTGATACAGGAGATATGCTTTGCTATGGAGAGCCTCATGTATTCCATTGCTTTTTTCACCCTTGGAAATAAATATGTTCCTAAAGAGCATCTTCCCAATTCAGTGTTTTCTAGCTTGTAAAGCTCTTCATGACTTTAAAGACCAGGTATGTGGTTTTTGGTCCATCTAGGAGAAAAAAAGTACCACACACATGGACCTCCCTGTGGTGAGGTGTATTTTTATTTTATTTGTATTTTCAAGATGGGCCTTTGAACTGGAAATACCAAACCTTGGAAAAAAAAAAGATCTGTTGGCTACAGGTAAACTTAAACAAACTTAATCAGGAATGAAGGGGTGGAGTGCCTGCCACCACCCAGGGTCTGGATGAAGCTCCTCTGAGAAGGGACAGTTATTTCCAAAAGAGCACAACTCATCACCAAGTACAGGTGTCAGAGAGTGAAGCTGGCCAATAAACAAATCTTCTCTCCAGAAATTACCTGTGGAGCTGTTCATGTACTGAATGCTCCCAGGAGTACTTTGCTCTACACAGTCATTAATTACATGTAGGATGGTCTTGGATGCAAAAAAAAAAAAAAAGCAACAGGAAAGCAAGGACATTCATTTATTCATTGTCCTTTGTCTCCCTTGAATGTCCGTGTCTCTTTCAAAGATGGCACAAGGAGCTCAGCAGGAAGAAGGGAAAGATGAGGCTGAACAATCGATGCCCTCTGTGATTCTAAGCCCATAAAACTTGCAGAGCCCCTGCCCAGGATGAAGCAGCCTAGACAGTGAAAGGTGGGCTGCTACCTTGTTCCCAAAGCATCTGTCAGTATTTTGGTTATCTCACTTATTTTTCCTTAGAATTTGATCTTAAGGTATAAGAACAGCAACCTAAGAGCAATCCTGAGTTCATGGAGCAGCCAGAGCACAGAAGAAGGAGCCTTTGCTGCTCCCTGTGTGGAGTGAAAGAGTAATTGTCTCGTTTAAAAGAGGAAGCACAGGCAAAGGCTCAGTTATTTCTACCCCTGTGATGTGTCCCCAGCACCAAAGGCTGTGCCAGGAGAGGCTGAGGCAGCTCAGGACAGGCCTGGCAGGAGCAGCAGCAGCAGCAGCAGCTCTCTCCTGGCTGGGGCTGTGCCCTCTGTAGGCCCCTGGCAGCCCCTGGCAGCACTGTGCCCCATCAGGAAGGCAGAAGGACAATCATGCTCAGGACCCCAAGGGCTGTGCATCAGGAAAAGGCTCTTGTGCAAGATCTCAGACAATTCCTGTGGTTCTGGCATGTGCAGTCAGGGAGGAGCAGGAGGAACAGCTGTGACACAGAACCACAGAGGTGATGTCTTGTCTCTGTGCTGATCAGTGAGCTATTTTAAGTTCCTCACAAAAATACAGATACAAGCCAACAACAGAAGGGTATTTGTGATCTTGGTTAGCAGCAGAGCTGCAGATTTCAAAGCTGTCCAGAGGGCCTGTGCTGGCTGCAGGCTGGGTGTCAAGTCTTTGTTTGGCCCTGAAGGCGAGCAGAAGTAAAAGGAAAGAAAAATATCCCATATAACAAATCTAAGTTGATCTCAGTAAAGGCCTGGAGAAGGTAGTTTTTTAGTCTGTTCACTCCAGCACAAATCTCATTTCAGGCAACTCAAATCAACACCTACTGCAACTTGACTTTCTTTCAGTGAAAGTAATCAAATTAGCTTTAAAGGTTGCTTTGACAGTGTAGTTTGAAATTTGTCACAGTAATCTTAGTGGTAGAGTTAGAATGAAAATGATGTTTTATCTAGCCTGCATGCAGGGAGAACCTGAGAAACAATACTGGTGCTTGGAAAGAGATGGAAAGCTCTCCTCTGTAAAACAAAGACATGCCACTCTGTCTTTAAAGTTCTGACAGAAGTTGACTGTGACTTGCTCATTCAGACTGGCTCTTCCAATTAGCAGCTCTTTGCCCTCTCTGCTTTGGCCTACATAGATAGATTTGATCTGATGGACGGGGCATAAATGGGGCTAACTAGCTCTTTTGAAGATACACCACAGGTCTAGTTGTGACATGGAGCCTAAATCCAGGGAATGCACAGGATATCCTACCTAGGACAGGATGAAGCATGAGTGGGATTCCCAGTGCTTTTCCTGAATTTGCAGCTGCTTTGATTTCAGCAGCCCTTTATGGCATGACCTTGTGTTTGGAGCTGCAGGACAAGAATCAGGTGTTGGTATTTCTGTAAGGGTTAAAAACTGCTTGCACCAACACTGACTGAGAACCCTTGGTCTAAACTTCAGATAAACATTCATGTTTTGCCAAGAATAGGTTGGCTAAACAAATGCAGCCAGTTAGGCTGGCTAAACTCACTCTCTTCTGTTGAAATCCCTGACTTCCAAATTATATTTGGGTTTTTTTGTGTCCATTCCTAAAAAAGTAACAGCACTGAAAGGCACTGTTACATCTGCTCCTCCAAAATCCACTGTAATTCAAAGACACAAAAACTTCCATTCTGAAGGCAGTAAAAAGTGTTGGATGGCAGAGAAGCCAAAGCTGCAGCAGGCTGCACTAAAAGCACTCAGAGGTTTCCTGGCCAGTGGCCAGCCAGCCCTGTGCAGGCTGTACCTGCTGCCCTGCACTGCAGTGTGCAGCAGCAGCACACAGGAGCAACATCACTTATGAGGTATCATAAAGAACCTGTTAGAAACACTCATTTGAAGAACAAATTAATTTTTGCTTTTGTTAGGCACCATATACTTAAATCCCACAAAAACTTGAATACTCACTACTCTATGCCATTGTCATTAAACAACTGCCTGTGAAATCTGGTTAAATTATTTTGATTAAGTATCAAGTGATTGCATAATATTTTTTTAACAGACAGTGTTCAGGAGTCCTAAAGCAGTGCTTCAATGTGAATTATCTGTGAGTTCCACTCATTGTACAGAGTTGGCGTAGGGTCCAGTCCTGTCATTCACTTCATTAAGGCCTTTCAAACACCTTCCTTGTCAGGGCACAAGCTGGACACAAAATCTATTGCTGTGGAGAGATACTGTGACTGATTCTGGCTGTCCATACACACAGCTTCTTGATATATCCAGTATTTGCTAACATTAAAGCAGCAAACAGCAGCAGCTTTTCTATACCTGTGCACCAGCTTGGAGAAGTGCTTTTTTCAGATGCATTATTACTGCCACATTCTCATTAGAGGACTGTCAGCAGATTAGCATCCTTTGTCTCTTAGCAGTCAATAATTCAAGCTAAACCTTGGGTCATAAAAATAGCCCTGTTGGGAACCAGCCTTTTCCCCTCTGGTGTCCAGGGCAAGGCAGACAGCAGGAGAAGGGGCAGAGCCCTGAGTAAACACCAGGGAAGAACTCAGAGCAAATGTGAGCCAGGAGGAACAGAGGTCACCCAAAATTTGCCAGTAGGGCTGAGGGGGCCCTGTTGTCTGAGGCTTAGAAAGCAATTACTGATTGTGCTCAGTAGCTCCAAGGGGTTTTTTTTGAAAAGTCCCAAATTGTGTTCATAAATACTGTAAATTAAGGATATAAGGCTTTGCTAATTGGAAAGATCTAATCTTCCCTGTGTAATACAGGTGTGCTAAATTATGGGTTTGTGGATGTGTTGAAGTATATGGAAAAAACCTTTTTTATTGTTCTGAATGCACAACTTTAAATCCAGCTTTCCAAAAGCAGGTGCATAAGTGTGTAATACACACTCCCCTATTTCTTAGATTAAACATTTTATGGAGAGGAAATTGTGTTATATTTCTTCTTTTTGATAAATGAGTAAATTCATAACGCAGATAATATCAAAAAATAATTCAGTGTGAAATGAAGTTGTAGAATTGTTGAAGCAAAAGGAGAAAAAAAACGTGATGGTTTATGCAGTGCGATATTCATTTAAAGCATTTTTTTATTTTAAAAAGCAGCAAGGCCAGGCTACATGTGCAAGTCCTGGAAAGAGAATCTTTTCCTCCATTTTGTTTTTTGGACCAGAGAGCTACAACAGTGAAGAATCATTTTGCTGAGAGAGAATTGAAGTAAGGATGAAATGTACATCTGTGCAGTAGAGCGTATGTGTGTACATTTGTGGTTTTATCATGTTTGGATTTGCTTGCAAAACAAGCATTCCATTTTCATTCCATTTTCATAGCAGTGAAAAATGCTCAGTGCTGCTCCAAAGTCCTCCCTCCAAAAAACCCATCACTGTTGATTTATCCTTTTACAGCAGGTGGTGGAGTGTTCATGCTTTCCTTTACATTTGCTGTGGCCAGGCAGCTGGGGAGGCAAGTTTCAGTTCCTAACACCCACTCATTAAAAATGTATTAATGCAAGTGTTTTTAGATAGCAGAAATTCACATACCTTAAGACAAATGCGTCCTCTTATCAGCCCATAAGGAACAGGTCCATAGCACCTGGAATCTGTAGAATTCCTGAGATTATCACCTTCTAACCAGACATGTCCTTTAGGCACCTATAAGCAAGATTGAAATGTAAAAAGAAACCAGAACAGAATGGTGTTAAGCACAGTTTGCCTTACAGTGTTTTTCCTGATTTCTGTGCTCTGTATTTCATGACTGTGTAATGAACTAAATTTTATTGAGTCTATAAGACCCACTGCCAGATTTAGAGGGATGAGAAGGAGTGTTCCAAAGTATCTGTTCTATCATGTGCTCAAAAACCAATGGTTTGCAACAAAAAACCCAAAATGAAGATGCAAGAGGTTAGACCAATGTGACAGGGTCATTAATTTAATAGACTTCAAAAGAGGTCATTAGGATGTTGACTGAAAATCTGCCCTCCTGTCGCAGTAACAGCATGAACAGGGCAGCCACACACTCATCAACATCCTGGGGCCAGCACCAAGGCTAGACCTGTTAGTAGATTCATGATGAACTAACTGGTAATTGATTGTGACATCAATTACGAATAATCTCATCATTTTATCGGAGTAGGCTTGTCAAAGTTCTAATTAAGATCACAGTTCATTCTATGTGCAGGCAGAATCCACAACACATTATATTGCAATAATGATGATCACAAAACAGCAAATCCCTTTTTATAATTTGAAAATTAATGATGGTGACCTTATACTATATGACAAAGACCTTTCATTGCCCATATATATTATGCATTAACTATATTACATACCACAGATTCATGGCATTCACTGGCTGACTCAATGACAAAATGAGAAATACCAACATAGCTGTAATAGTTACCTAAATGAGAGTACGAAGCTTTCATATGCGAAAAAGTTGCTCCTGAAAGTCTTAAACTAAGACATCTACTTGGAACATACAATACTATTTTGTAATGTTTTCTTAAAAATGTTTCAGATACAAATAACCTCTTTCAAGTCACCAAATAAAATACTTAATAATTACATTTCTAATTGGGTCTTGTTTCTAAATTTTAAACCAGGCTGAAAATTTAAATGAAGCAACATATTCTCAATCTAGAGAATATTTAATATGGACTTTAAACATTTATTTTTCCAAAACCAAGTATCCACTTGAAACATTACTATGAAGTATCTACTTGAAACATTACTATGACCACAATTCAGAGGAAAAACATATGGAAACAAACTAAATAAATAAACAAACAATTTCAAGTGAAACTCAAAGTACAAATAGCGTGAATGTTTTAAAATTGAGCCATGCACTGTAAACACAATAGTCTACATAAGAGACAGTTCATGGGTAGCAGATTAAACAAAGTGCAATACTCTAGAGTAAAGGCAGGTTGTAAACCAGTAAGAACAAATGCAGGTCCCCCACTGGAGCAAACTGCAGGTGATGCTTGTAGGTCTCTGGCCAGGTAACATCCCTGGGAACCTGGGCTTTCATGTGAGGCTCTTGTTTAGCCATGCTGCCACGTGCCTGTCACCAGAGCAGCATCCCAGGCTGGCACACTGCTGCCAGAGCCCCTCTGCTGAGCCGTGGCAAATGTGCCAGCTGTGGACTGAGACACAACAGGTCACTTGGGCAGCATGAAACACACTGCAGAAAGCATCTGTGAGCCTGACCATCCTTCCCAAGCAGCCCTGTGTTTCTGTGCTACCAGGAAAGGTGCTGGAGGTGTGTCAGAGGGCACAAAGCCTGCCCTCAGCATTTTAGAAGGTGCCCAGCAATGCCTAAGCCCTTCTGAAACCCACTGGTACCATCTCCTGCCCCAGGTATAAAGGAATGCCACCTCCTTTGTTTTTAACTGTTCCACTACTTGAGCCAAGCTTGCTCTCCCAGTCCTTCCAGACAGGAATTCCCTGTTCAGCTTGTCTGCCACCTTTGTTGCTTGGTACACTGATCAGATTCCTGGCACATGCACCAAAGGGTTTCCTCTGGGAAGGCCAGCTGGTTCCAGCTACATGACTTTGGCCCTCCTCCTGCCCAAGCAGCTTTGCAAACAAGAAAACCAACCAGAAGTCAATTTATACATTTTCAAAAGCTTCTATCTGGAGTCAAACAACCTGTGTAGAATATGCATCTTGTCTTTTTGATAGGTCTCTGTCTGAGCATGTGCTGTCAGTGCTGTTTTCCTCAAAGACTCCATGGAGCACAGCCTGTTTAGGATGTCCAGCAGGGCAGTTGGATGTTTGTGGTCACTTAGTTCAGTGGATTCACCCAAAGCACTCCCTGTGTCCACACTCACACATGAGTTTGTTTCCCATGTGCAAATAACAGTACAAGGCAGCACCTGACCTTCCTGGTGCAAACTCCAGCACATACTGGAATAACAAGTCAGCCACCAAACTGCTGCCACTGTGACAGACTCCCTCAGCAAACACACAAATAGGACAAGCTGGAATTACTGAGAAAAGCCATGCTAACATTTCATGGTGCTGCAAAACTATGACTTCTTGCAATGTGCTCCTGTTTCCCTGCCAGCTCCCCTTGTGCTGTTGTGGTCCCTGTGCTTTCTCACTTCTCCCAGTTCACAGGCAGAATGCGATGCTCATCTTTTAGTGTGTGAAATAAAGAACCATTCGTGACTCAAGTATATCCAAAAGCTTTCTAAAACACTTCCCATATTTTTTCACCAAGCTCCAAAATTACAAAAAAATAAAATAAATGGCTTTTGCCTGCTATGGTATTAAACTACTTCCAGTACTAGGAATAATTATTTGTCTAGTCAAGATATTCACGTTTTGCATTCCAGGTAGAACATTTGCAGTAAAGTGTCTTCCTACATCCTGAAATTCACCACTTAAGGTAATTTTTGCATTTCTCCCTGGAAGGTATGACTGGGCCCTACACCTCTGAATTTGGCATTAAGAGTACTGTCACAATGTGTGATTCATCTAGGGATAATGCATCTTTGTAGAGTGTCTGTCCATCATCTAGGCACTTCACATGAAAAATCACAAGAATTACAGGAAAATGTAAAACCAAATACCAGTGACATGCCATAATCATTAATTTAAAAAAACCCAAAACCCAAAAGTAGTATAAACCCCTTTGAAATAAAGACCAGTGCCAGAATCCTCTATGCACACCAAGCCATGTCTACACCACATCACTGATCTAAGTGGGATTACTCACAGGCAATAGTTCATTTGGGAGTATCAGAGGCCAGGACCCAATCTGAAACACTGCAAAGCTCTGCAAGCACACTAGCTGGGAATAATATTCACCAAAGAAAAAAAAAAATTGGCTGTTAAAAACCTGTATTTTTAGTAAGAATGTATTAACTGCACAGCAATGTGCTGCTGCTGCCAAAAACCCCAAGGCAGAGGGAAAGCCACCTGTGTGACAGCTCACAGGGTTGCATTTTGGAATCTACAGGCACTGGACCTCTTAGAGAAAGTTAACTGCATCCAAGAAGTGCCACTGAAATCACAGCTCCCACTACACAGAGGGACAGTGACTGCAAACTCCCACTGATGAGGGGTAAAAGCATTGCCCTGGGCTGGGCAGCATCTCTGAACTGCCTACACACAGGCCAGAACTAAAGATGGGAAAGTCTCACACACCCAGCAGCTGAATTTTCACAGAATGAGTGGGACTGCAGAAGCAGCAGCTCCTGAGCAGTGCAGGCTGCTGTGAAATGCTGCCTCTGACTGTCTGCAGGCAACTCCCTCTGCCTCAGCAGCCCCTGTGCCCCCGTTCTGTGCAGATTATCCCAGGATTTACCTCCCTTGTTCTCAGGCAGAACCGGTTATCTGCAGTGCTGCTTCAAAGTGGGACAATGAAAGGCACCATCAGACACCCCTCTGCTCCCTCCCCAGGCTCTAGACCAGAAGAACAAGACTATCCCTGGGAACAACCGAGCTGGAGGCAGTAGTTCATTCTTTTTCATCCCAAATAAACATCTTTCACTGAGACAAACTGGCAACATTTGCAGAGCTGTTGGAGTTTACTCAGTGGTGCAGTTAAAGTAGCAGAACTGAAATACAGGGCAGGTGTTTAATGCATACTCACGAACATAAAACATTAATTTACTTAAAGGGAGGGAATCACCAAATAATTATATTCTTTTGGTCTCTTTACATGATGCCAAACTTTTTTTCTTTGATTACTCAATTTTCTTCGAACCCAAGAGACAAGAACGCTGTGCTGCATTAACTGACATATTAGAAAACTAATGTATTGCAAATAAAGCTATCAGAACTAAATTATCTGCCTCAAAAATACCCCCAAACACAACCAACTGAAAACAGGCTACTGTGATTTAGGGTTTTTGTTTTGAGAGAGCTTTTGCTAGTGATTTTAGGGCACTTTTAAACAGGAATGTCTTGCAATCTCCAAAAACATCAGCACATACAATCAGCTGGGAGTAGATGTTTGAACTTTTGTAAGGTCACAGGTATTCACATCACCTCCAGCAATATCAAAGTTTCCAACTTAAGAAGAACTTTAAATAATTCCCATCTTTTCAGTTCAGAGGCTTCCTTCTTGAGCTATGATAAGAACTAATCTCAGTGCTGGACAAAAGAATAAAGTCTGCAAGTTCTCATCTATCCCTACTAAGGTCTATTTAAGTGCCTCCCACTTTGGTACAAGCAACAAATGTAATTGCTTCATGGCCTGCGGGTGTTCATTTAACAAAAGGAGCTTTTGTGAATAAACCACAGGTGTTACCTTTCTTGATTAAAGTGAAATATGATGAAAGATTCTACAATATCAAATGACAAATTTACTAAATACTGATTAAATTGCCTTATTTAAGTAAATTGCATCTAGTTAGGATAAAATATACACCATAGAAATGCAGGAGTTTGTTTTATCACTCTATACTTAAAGTCTCACATAACTACTCCTTAATCCTTTATTTATTAATTCAGAACCAAGACTGAATAATGCTTAACAAATACTTCTTTTAATGATCCAGTTGCTCCAGGCACTGTTTCTGTAGTTTTATCATAAATGTTTTTCATATTAAGGCTGCCATCTGTATAAAACCCAACTACATTAATTAGCTCAACATTTTCAGAATCAGGGTAAGAATTTATATTTACTTTTTTGTGCTGAA